GAGCGCCGCCGTAATGCTCGGAACTCAGGGGCCGGCTCCAGTCGGGCCTCGGACATCGAGGCGACTGATTTGACAGAGGAAGACCCTCCATCTCGACAGGTTCGGCCCCCAATGCCCTCCGCTGCACCTTGGCGTTCTGCTCGACTTCAAGGGACGTCCACTCTCTCTTCCTTCCATGGTCATTCAGCGACCTCCTCTCATGCTTCAATCTTCCCTTTCTCTGGTTTGTACAATGCTGACGTTGATGGGGTAGCTTACCTAAAGAGGGCGTTTAACCTCTAGCAAGGGCTCGAGGAATCGTCGAGTGGGTCGGATTTTAGCTTGTCGAATCCTCAGCACAGCATCAATGCATGCCTTAGTGACCTCCACCAGGTGAGCATTTGTAGTTCTTGGTGCCTACCGTAGCATTTTCACCTAACGTCAGTTTCTAACTTTGGCAGGTTTTTAACCGTCTGGTGGTGTTCTCGGGTTGAGTTGCCGATGAGATTAATACATGTGCTGTCGTTATGCCCCTCGGGAGGTGTTGGAGTAGGTTCTCTCCTCCTTAGATCAGGCCAACAGCCTCCTGGAGACCACTAGACATGAGTTGGAAACTGAGAAGAGAAAATCCCAAGACGAGCTTGCCGACCTGCAGAGGACGCTTGACGAGGCCAACGCTTGACTCTCGGACTCTAAATTCCTCGCCGGGGAATTTAGGAAAATGCAGGAGTAAGTTGACTTGCAGAATGCCGCCATGGAGTGTGGCGTCTCCCAGTCTCTTTGCCAAGTTTCTACTGAGCATCCCAACATTGACTATTCCTTTCTTCAAGAGCGCTTTAAAGTCGAGTGTGATGCCCCCGACGACATGGATGATGATGATGATGATGAGTAGGAGGGTGGCAATCTACTTTGTTGCGTCGATCGCTTTTATGCACTAGCTGTTGTTATGTTGTTGTCTTGTCTTTATTTATAGCTATCTTTGGAATTATCAATCAATTCTCTATTACCAAAAATTTATTGGCTTATGGCTCTAACTCTGATGGAGCTGATTTTTGTTGCCTTTATTCTCATAGGTTTCTAACCATTTGGCTATGGTCGACGGTTTTTTACCTTTTTAGTTGTTGTTGTTTGGCTTTTGATTTTGCTTCATCTTGTGTTTTAACCGTGCTAGGTCACATGACCCGCTTCTGGTTTGGCCGTGCTCGAGATCTTTAATTGTTCTTTCCAATTCTTGTCGATCGATGTAGATTGATGTACTATTATGCCCCCTACTTGAGGAGTACATAAAAAGTTTGACTATGGAGTACTCAAGTATGTAGACAGTAGATACTTTATTGATAACTTAAAAATCAATAACCTTAAAAGCAAACCGCAAGAACCTTAGACCTATCCTATACTTGTTGATTAAGCGAAGAAATCAATGGCCGCCCGCAGTAGAAGCCCTGTCGTTGCCCTTCATTGAGGTGTAGTAGCACTCACGTGATACTCGTTGCTCTTCTTTGATCTCACCTATCCCACCATGTGTTGGAAAATTGATAGACTGGTGGTACGTGGACGGTATTGCTTTGAGCATGTGTATTGTTGGTCTTCCGAGTATCGCATTATAGGAGGATGCATAGTCAATGACTAGAAAGTCCATGATCGTGGTGATGCTTTTTGGCCCACTTCCGAATGTCACCGTTAATTCTGTTCTCCCTTCAGGGATGACTCGTTCTCCTCTAAACCTTACCAGTGATGCTGGACTACTTTTACGCCCTCTCTCCCCTAGATCCATGGCTTTGTAGGCTGTCAAGGAAATGATATCTGCTGAGCTGCCCCCATCTACCAAGATCCGATGCACCTTTGCATTGGCTATTTTTAGAGTAATGACCAGTACGTCGTTATGCGGGTGGAGGAGATGAGTTGCCTCATCCTCTGAGAACTCGATTTTTGCTGGCTGTTTTGCAACAAATGTATGGTAGATTTCATGTTGCACCTGGCTCGTCCTGGTCTCTCGTATACTCGCCTTTCTCTTTCTGCCAAATTCTCTCTCCATCGGACCTCCCATTATTGTTCGAATTTCTCGAGCGGGTGACTTACTATCGTTCTCACCATTTTGAGTTGCTTTAGGATCTTCCACATATTCTTTGAGATACCCTCTCTGGATGAGCTCTTTCACTTCTTTTTTGAGATCAAAGCAATCCTGAGTAGCATGGTCGTGGTCTCGATGGAAGAGGCAGTATCGCCCTTTGCTTCTTTTACTTTGTGGTGCATTCATCCTCTCTGGCCATTGGAGCAACCTCTGATATTTGATCTCCATCAGCACTTGCTCTAGCGGGACCATTGTTGGTGTATATTTCTCGAACTTCCTAGGTGGACCCTTCTGACTAGTCCGCTCTCTTTTCTCTCATCTTGACGACTGTGGTTTATCCCCCGGCCTTTCTCTCTTCTGGTCGGACCGTTTTTCCTCTAGCTCTTTCTTCGAGTGGAAAAGCTCTCCGACGCTCATATATTTCTAAGCCCGACTCATCAACTCTGATAAGTTGTTCATCATCTTTTTCCCGAAAGAGAATGATAGGTGCTCATCCTTGATGTCGAACATAAAAGCTAGTAGAGACACTGCATATGTGAGGCATTCAACCTGTAATTCCTCTTTATTAAACCGAGCCACATAGTCAGGCTCTCTGTTGCTCTCTATTTGATGGTCAGATGATAAGCCATGGGTCGGCTTCGGCTTCATTGTCCAACAAATTGGGTCACAAATGCCCTAGCCAGACTCTTAAAGCTTGAGATCGAACATCGCTTCAATTGTCGAAACCATACCCTGGCCGACCCGCTCAAGGTTGTCGAGAACACCTAGCATATGATCACCTCTAACACCCCGTGAATGTCCATCCATTCTCGGTAGGCGTCAAGATGGTCTACCAGATCGGCTGACCCATCGAATTGCTTCACCGTTGGTAGCTTGAATTTTGAATGGACCTTCTCCCCTATGATCTCCTTTGTAAACGGTGAGTCGGCTTGATCTAGTAGCTCTTCGAGGTTGAACCCCTTCTCTTTTTGACTTTGCTGCTTTTCTAACAGCTCGGCCCGATTGGTCGATTTGCTTTTGTAGAGGTCTATGGGCTCGGCATTTTGTCTTCCTTGGTCGCTCTTGCCCCCATCTGGTACTGGGGATTTCTGTGGCTTTTTACCCTTTTGCTGGCCTTGGGAGTCGAAAATCCGAGTTCGTCGTTTGATGTTTCCACCTAGCCCTACACTGTTTGTCGATTCTTCAGCCTCGCTCTCTACTGGTCTTTTCCCTTTCGGAGGTCTCTGATGAGGGGTACGTCGATGCCTCCTGTTGTTCTAATTGTTGACGTAGCTGGGTCATGCATTGAAGCATGCCTTCTACCTTTTCATCCAAGGCTATGAACTACTTTTGGAGGTGTTCATAGGCCACTATCGTAGGCACCTCAGGCAGCCCTTCTTGGTGTTCTAGGTTTTGTCGGTCCACCTTGTTCTCGGATCCTCCTACTTGGGGGTCACCCAAGTTTAACTTTCTCCTTGCATGGCAATCATCGTTAGAGCGTCGTAGACTTCTTTCCGGCGTCATGTTTGTTAGACTGTATGGCTTGCTTCTTCCCCACAGACGACGCCAATTGTTGATACGTGGATTATGCTCCATTGGTTCCTTCTACGGTTCGCACCAAGCTTGATTATCTGGGACTCGAAGACCTACAAAACCGAACAAGGCTAGACCGTGACTCTTGTCACACGGGTTCTGATGCCTAAGTTAGCAAGGGAAGTAGTTGAATGGTAGAATTCAAGGGTAGAATTCGACTTGCCTTAGGGTTAGGCTACATGACCTATTTATAACCGCTCGGTAGGTTCTAGATCCTTCTAATGTGCCCTAATTCGTTGTCGCAGGGCCCAAGCTGCATGAAGATCAGAGGAGGGCAAATGTCAGGCTTGGAAATGGGCCGAGCCCGGCTCGGCACCGAGAATGGGTCGAGACCGAGCCGTGCTCAGCTCGGTCCTGTCGATCCAGTTCATTTGGTAGTCTCTTTTCTTGTGCTTGTCGTTTTTCCTTCGTATAACATTATAGCTTTTAGATTTATATTTATATCTTACCAAAAATAAAATAAATTGATAAAAGAATATATAGATAGAATAAATTTATTAATATTCATGCTTCTATCTCTCAAAACTAATGGACTTAATAGCCTAAGATAAATTTAATTATATATATAGATACAGATGAGAAGGAAAAAATAAAAAAAAAATTACAACCTAGTAATTTGATGAGGTAAACTACTGCGCATATTAGATATATTCTAATTATTATTTAAACTTTTTTCTTTCGAAGCTCTAACTATATTTAGTGATTTAGAGCTTTAACCATATTATATGATTCAATATTATCTTAAAAGGTTTTTGAATATCGCAATAGTTTGAATAACCAGTACTGTTAGGTCACTACTAAATTCGGGCTTCAATGACATATAAAAAATTGTCATTAACATAATTCATGATAGTTATATAACTGTCCTGAATTAAAACATCAAGGAACAAAACAACGTGACATTTATTGAAAAATTAAATATCATTTCAATTTTGATCGTATATCAACACATTGTTAACTTATATAGCAGCGGTTTATAGACCTCCCTTGCTAATTTGCAGCAACAATTGTGTAAATGTTGGAAGTATTTGACAACTGCTGGAGATGTGTTTCAATTAGAGATGTGTTTCAATTGCATCAAGTTTTTATCTTATACAACGATGGTTTGTTGGTCTCTGCTAATTTACAACAATTTCTAAACCAATAAGTTGCAAACATGGCAACAAAATTGAAAGAAATAAATTTAGCATTTACATTTTAGTTGTGCAAATATAGCAAAATTTTTGGAAACAACGGAGGTCCAAATAACAAAAGGTCAAATTTACCCTTGTAGCATTGATATACCACTAATATAGCACTACTATATAAATTTGATATACACTTGATATCCTGTTATTTACTGCTAACATATCACTAATATAAATATGATATCCACTAATATAACTTCTTATATAATTATATTATTTACTATTTATTTATTTACTAMTAATATATGTGTGATATATATACTTGATATGCCTCTAATATACTTGTTGATGCTGGAAATTTGGCCTCATTGGTTCTCGTCAAATATGCACCAAGCTCGATAATCACGGGAACATATACCTGCAAAATCGAACAACCCTAACCCGGTGTGACTTCGATCACACTGGCTCCGATGCTTAAGTCAGTGATGGGAGGACTACTAAGTGAAGTACTTAGGGTTTATTTGCTTACCTCTAGGGTTCAGTCAGTGGTTTCATTTATCATTAGATCACAGGGATTCGTGGACCGGGGCACCTCAACCAATGGGAGAGGAGAGAAATTGGGCTCGGCCCTGTGCCGAGCCGGGGTCGGGAACGAGCCCCGACTCGCTCGGTCTGTCGTTGAGTTTACACCTCTCTAGTCTGTAGAGGCCCATTTCCTTGGTCGGATCCAATCCCATAACAGTTGCCCCCACTCTCAAAATGATGCTTCATAGTATCAATGCCTCGTGCACGCCTTTTTTATTGTCTCAATTGTGATAGCACATAGGCGCTATAAGTAGTACGTGATCGTTGTGGCCTCGCTCAGTGGCTGTTGCAGCTCCATTTCTTGTTTTGGCTACATTTTCCTAACAAATTTGTGTCACATCTAAGACTTTAACAGTCATTGAAGATGTATGGAAGATTAAGCAAGCTGGCTTATATTTTACATCCGCCATTATTAATATCTGGAGGATATATATATATATATATATTCATGTGTTCCATCTCAAAACCAATTGGCAACCTTAGCATGCCCCTCAAGATTTCGAGCTTTTGGGGTCGGATATCATATCAATATTCATGAGGTTCCATCTCAAAATTAATTGGCAATGAAAGGAGTAGCTCATTTCTATTATAAACAATTGTTAGATCCATTTTCTTTTCAACGTGGGATCCTTAACAAAATATATATAGAATTTCTTTTAATACAACATGTAGGGATAAGAATTTGAACTTGCGACTTTTTGGTTAAAGATATAAATACCTTAACCAATTGTGCTAAATTGTCATCGTTTAAGATACTAGAGTTAAATGTCTATTTTCTTATACTACAGTATTACAGAGGATGCATTAGTGTTGAAACCATTTCTAAATGGATTTCAAGTGCAAAATAAACCATCTAGAAGCTAAGAATTCAACCGAATGCACTGCTTCATCGTATCTCTGAAATTGTTCATAAAAGTATGCCTATTTCTACCAACTGTCCATATAACCACCACAAACATGAAACACGAAACACTAGACCCCAGAGACTCAAGCAGGAAAACCTGACTCTTGAGGGAAAAACCTAAGCAACCTTAAACAAAAAGAAAAGTAAGCCCACCCTTTTCTTGCAAAGTAAGAAAATATGCTCTTAGGATTCACCATCACTGCCACACACGATCATCTTTGAGGCATGGTACTCCAATTCAKATTTTTCACTCAAATTCCAAGAGCAAGATTTTGTAGATAGAACTAACCTTCTTCCGAATTTTGAGATTCCAAATAGCAATAGAAAGAAATTTTGGAGTAGTCAACGGAATAAAGAATGATAATTGTAGTATGGATTTGAAAGAAATAACTCCAGGCTTCTCCAGGTTCTAARATCTAAAATTTTGCCAACTTTTTAATTTTTATTGAGTACTAAAACTGCCAACTGTAAATATAACAATAGAACAACTTCAGCTTCAAACAGACAAAATATTTACATACAATTTCCCTACCTTATTTAGCAACTTTGCCCGATTCGATATGCTTGCAGCGCCATATTTGTCTACTTCTTCAAACAACTTACCTGCATACTTGTGCTTTGTTCTTAAGCACAACTTTGGTAGCATCGAGAGAACATAATGGAACCTGAGACAGAAGAGTGATGCGCTAATCTACCTGTCTGAATTTGKTATTTCACCATAACTACAAGCAGTTCATACTGAAATATCAACAATACCTCATGTTTTCACCCACAGCATTCCAATATCCTTTCTCAACATGAAAAGCTATTGCACTTCTCAATTGATGTCCACTGAAGCACTAAAACAGGAAACCCCATTCATTTATATAAGTCTAGGCATCTTTGTATGTCCAAAATTCATGGTAACATAAGATAAATAGGGAATAGAGTAGAATTCCACATAATTCAAAGGAATCTTTGATATCCAATCAAATAATTACGTTAAAATGCAATCTCTAAAGCATATAGGGAGTTCTAGTAAACAATGGAAAGAATAATAAATCATTTTCTAATGATCGTACATAAGATGCCAGCTGCGGAAGCATGAAGGTAAAGACCACAGCTACGAAGGAGAAGGATTGTTGAAAAGGCTCTTTATATTCTTAATCATTAACTACATAGAAACGTCCTTTTAATTCTAGACCTAGCTAGATGATAAATGGAAAGAGATACTGTACAGCTAGCAAGAAATTAGAGTATGTACAGTTATATATGGATTTAGTTTTATTTTAAAGAAAACAAAAAAACAACAAGAAACTCTTTTTACTGATGTAGTGAAAAGAACATTTAAAAATAAATAAAAAATAAAAAAGAAGTGTAATAATCCCACTAGGAGGCTATGAGCTTGCTAACAAACACTCCAATTCAGATAACCACAGGAGTGTAATGAAAAGAAACTGATAAAATACCAATATGAACAGTCTAATTATGACAAGKCAAAAACCTCCTTACGACTCCTTTCCTTTCCCTTAAAAACTCAATTCTTCCTTTCCAACCATAATCCACTTTGAGACAACATAACACAACCATCTATGACGAATGTCAAGAAGGGGCGAGCCAAATAAGGCAGAGCGAAACCATGGCAAGTTCGTTCAAAGAGATGTAACTATTCTTTTCTCAGAAAAATGCATCGTCAAGAGAGAAGTGATAAAGCTCTCAAATTGGTCAAGATTTAAGAAATGGATATAAYGAAAAGACTATAATCACTGCTTTGCGCATACAGTTTATCCTGAAGGAAAAAAAAAATTAATCGTGCTTTACCAAATAAAAACCATAAAAGGAATCAGTAGATTTCTTCATCRCCTTTCAAATAATTGAGGGTACAATTCCATATAAACATAAAGAAGTCATACCAGGCCATACGAATGAACGATTGAGATGATCAATGCCATGCGCAACAAGAGTGTAGGGAACGCTAGGCATGCCTAAATAGCGAAAGCATCAGACCTACAGGGCAAGTCCCCAAAGAGCTGCAAAAKAACGAATACATGGCATAATGCCAATTAACTTCAAAACTGGCCAAAGCTTAATGCAGTACGAACCAGAAACACGCAAAATAATTACTGATTCCGGAGAATAAACATCCATCCTGATCCCACTACTACCCTCAGCTAAAAGTGTAATCTAGTTCTTTCCTCCAAGATAAACAAGAGCGTCGATTATAAACCAGTAAATTAAGAATCAAAATAGCGAAAACAAACAAAATAGTCAGAAAAATTAGAAGGGTTACTATCCTTTTCAGCATTTGCTTGCCCTAAACGTCGCACTTAATGCGCTAAGAACTGAACCACCATTTGTAGATGAAAATTCTAASCTTAACAAAGAATTCTGAGTTCTAGTTCATCTACTTCGAATATTTGGAACGAGTAAAACATCAATAATTTAAGATGATACTTACGGAATCGCGGCGAATAATGGAGTGCGGATGGATGGATGCTCAAATGCTTCTTTGCTTGCTTTGTGAAGGTGAGAAATTTGCAGAGTCCAGAATCAGAGGCAGAGGGACTCACTGCGGGCAGGGGTAGCAAGCTCACGCAAACTGCCCGTATAAATGTCAGCTCTCAAATTTTATAGAAACGTTAACAGAAATATCGCTAAAATATTGAGCACGAGTATTTTACTCTTTTTAAGTTTAGTAGTGCCACGTGCAAATAAACGTAATATTCTTTTATTTAATTTTTCATTAATAAAAATATCACTATTTATTTAAAAAATATATCAAAAGTAAAAAACTTAAAACAAATGTTTATAAATGAATAGAATTATATAACTCAATTTTTGTTGGTAAAATAATGTTGGAAGAAAATTTTACTTTATATTTTTAAAAAAAGGTATAAAATTTTTCAACAAAGTAAAATGATTTTTCATATTCAATTTTTTTAAAATTAGATATATTTATTAGGTGAACTTAAATTTTCATTTATTCAAAATTGATTTCCCTTTTACTTAATAAAAATATGATTGATTCCTTCCCCTAATTCATTTTTAGCATTAAGAACTTATACATTTTTCTTTAAAACAATAGATACTCATAAATTTATATCTATAAGTTAATTTTACTTATTATATTTGGGTATTTAATAAATAAATATAATAATTACTGTAATAAAAATTATTATATTATAATATTTCTACAATATTTATTTTTAATCCACTTTTAATTTGTTATATTAATTTTAATGAGTTATAATAAATTTACAATTGTGAATAGAAATACACTTTTAGAGTTTTAATTTAACACATTTATAAATCAATGCACAAAATATTCCCCTGCATAATAGAATATCATTTTTTAGCTACTTTTAATTTAACAATTACTAAAAATATGTTATTTCCTTGAAATGAAATGCAACAAATAAAAATAATAGCATTATTGCTTAATGTTGTTAGTAGGAGATAACTTTTCTTTTATCTACAAATAGGAGAGAAAGTTGATTGAATAATCCATATTACATAGAATAAAAAATCATAACAATACTAATTGTAAAATAATTTATAATAGGAATGATTTAATACCTGAATTTCTCAGAAATTGCTCACCTTCGATTGATGTTTGAGATCAAATTGTAARATTCAATAACTTCTATTTATAAACAACATTGTTCTGCAACTCTTATAAATAAAGACGCTCAACGTGYTACGCCATCGTGCACTATGACGCTACCAGATCTATRTRTAWAAWWTWWAARA